TGGGCCTTGTGTAGGGAAGAGAAAGAAACTTATTTTGAGCTATTCTTTCATTTCCTTTCTATTCACTTGCCTTTCAGAATCCAAACAAAGCCTTTTTTATTTTATTTTTTACTTTTAGTAAAGCAGCTGAGCAGGTTTTAATTCAGAAATTTCATTCGCTTTCCATTTCACTGTTTCTTAAATGGGAAATCAGGCCAACACAAGTCATGATCATGAAAGATCCTATTCTTCTAAGAACAAATGTATGTTTTTATGATCTCTGTTTAAGTTCCATCTTGAATGTGCACATTGAGACTCGTTAAATCTACTTGATTACAGTTTTCAATGCAGTAGTTGTAAATTGAAATGGAACTGGAAGCATGTAAAAGCAAGAATGGAATTATCTTGTGAACAGATGCACCTAAGATTTGTTGATGATGCATGATTGAATCTTATTTTATATTCTGATATCAAATTACCCTAGTAGGATGCAGCAGACTCTTCTGTGTTTCTTGTCATGTTGCTTACTATCTACATTTTGATGGCAGATATTTTCCAAGAAGCTGGCCTACCTCTCTGGCTGCGCCCTTATGAAGTGTTATGTACTTCTTCTTACACTGCTCTTATTGAAACAATTCCAGATACGGTGATTCCATGGTTACATATTTCAAATTTATTAAAAATCTACATTTTTTTTTATTAATTATTAAATATATATGATTTCTAGGCTTCTCTACATTCTATCAAGAGTAGATACCCCAACATCTCAAGTTTACGTGAATTTTTCATTGCCAAATATCAAGAAGATTCTCCAAGTTTTAAACTTGCCCAGGTAATGTAGAGATGCAATGATGCATTGCATTACTGTGGACTGACCTTGTTCATCTTACAAGAAAATAGCTGAATAGAAATATGTTTATCTTGGTTGCTTCTTTTCCTATTTGTTTATCTGAGGTTATCTTATCTTTCTGTATCCCTTCTTTGTCCCCAATCCACCTCGTGATCCATGACCAATGCATAGGCTTCTAAACCAGCCTAGCAAACCTGGCCACATAAGTTGATTCCAAAGTCATAATTTTGCATAAATACGTAGTTTTAACATATGTACACCCAAGTTCAAAAATGTTTCTATTAACAAATAACAATTCAGCATAATCTTCTCTGAAATCCCATATTTATGATTGTGACACCTGACAAGCATCCCAAGACAAAATCAAATTTATGTTATTAAGCAATCATATTCCTTTTTTTTCTCTTCTCCTAGGTATTCCTGTCTGGGATGTACTGTAGTTAGTTTTCTTTCAGCACATTCACTAGTTGCAGTGTACTGTAAATTGCTACTTCTGCCCCACCTCCCCTTCCTTTTGTTCTTGTTTTCTAGCGTAGTTTCAAGTGTGATTTCTTGCAGGTTTTAATTTAAAGGGTTATTCCCCAACTAAATCTATTATATGGTGAAAATCTTTATTCTATGTTAAAAATAGAGAAGATAATGCCATTTGGTATATTTTTTGATTTATTTGTATTTTTTATTTTTGTTGTTTCAGAGGAACTTTGTTGAAAGTATGGCTGGATATTCCCTGGTTTGCTATCTTCTGCAGGTGTGAAACATCTTATTCTGCACATGCATGCATTTTCTATAACTGGTGCTTAAATTGTTATTGAAGGTTTTCTACCCACTTCTCATTTTTGCTGTTTTTTATTTAATCCAGGTGAAGGATAGGCATAATGGGAACCTCTTAATGGATGAAGAAGGTCATATTATACATATTGATTTTGGCTTCATGCTTTCCAATTCACCTGGTGGTGTTAATTTTGAAAGTGCACCTTTCAAATTAACCCGAGAGCTTCTTGAGGTAAAACAGAGACTGTTTTGCTGGTTATTGGTTAATACTATATACCTATTTTTGAGTGTCCATTTGATCATTTACTGGCTTTTCTCTATACAATAACAGAGATAATGTGATTTTGCCAGGTCATGGATTCTGATGCAGAGGGCATTCCAAGCGAGTTTTTTGATTATTTCAAGGTAATACATACACACACCCACGGAGGGAGGCGGGGGGGCGGGGAGGAGGATAAGAAGAGTTATATTGGCCGTATACATGGTTGATTAAGATTATTTTAGTTATATCGAATAACCATCCATTTTAATTGTATGACCACTATTTTCACCTCATGCTCTCGTCTCTCACCTGATACAAGTCATATATATATATATACATATATATATATATATGTATATATATATATATGACTTGTATCAGGTGAGAGACGAGAGCATGAGGTGAAAATAGTGGTCATACAATTAAAATGGATGGTTATTCGATATAACTAAAATAATCTTAATCAACCATGTATACGGCCAATATAACTCTTCTTATCCTCCTCCCCGCCCCCCCGCCTCCCTCCGTGGGTGTGTGTATGTATTACCTTGAAATAATCAAAAAACTCGCTTGTATATATGTATATATATATATATATATATATATAATATCTTTTGCTTGTATTGTCTCTAAATTTGTCTGTTTCTGTCTCCTGTAATCCAGGTTTTATGCATTCAAGGCTTCCTTACTTGCCGTAAGCATGCTGAGCGTATTATTCTTCTTGTTGAGATGTTGCAGGTAACGTAAATGATAGCTCCCTACTGTGACCCACTGTTGTCTAATATGTACCCTGCCTGTGTTCACTGTTCAGTAGTGATTAGTTCCAATTTCTCACAATAGAATAATAGGCTTTGTTATGGTCTAATACTGAGTGTTAGACTGTTAGTCCAAACCTAGGGCTTTCTGTTTCCTACTTTCATATGCCACCTCCATTTTTAGTTATTGGCCACCATTGCAAGCTGTTTAATGTTCAATGACCAGTCCAACTTAGCCAATGCATATAATGAAGGAAAAGGCATAAACTTCCATCACTAAATAGGTCTAACATTAGGTTAAAACTGAATATTAAACCATAACAGCCTGTGGAGGAGTAAATCAGGAAATACTCTCCCATTCATGTGGAATTTTCTTTGAGCTAATAGTTTTCTAATGTTGGTATCAGGACTCTGGTTTCCCCTGCTTTAAAGGTGGTCCACGGACAATACAGAACCTACGAAAACGTTTCCATCTCAATTTAACAGAAGAGGTTTCAATACTAAATATTAGTTACTCTCTTAACTGTATTTTTTTTTTTTTTGCCTGTTAACTACATCCTTTTCTCTCCTGGCAGCAATGTGTATCTTTGGTGCTTTCCCTCATTAGCAGCAGCCTGGATGCATGGCGGACACGGCAGTATGATTATTACCAGAGGGTTTTGAACGGGATATTGTGAGATAGTTTGTCAATGGTGATCGTTTTCTTGCTTCCTTTTGACTAAGCTTGCACGGTGATTGTTCATCAATTAATATTTGCATTTATAAGTCGTTGGAGGGTGGTTGGTTCACTGTGTTATGGCTTTAGAGTTTTTGTGAGAAGTAAGAATTGATAGGTGGCAGTGTGCAGCCTCTTTTCTCCTGGTGATAGTGGGAGGAGGATTCTGACTTTCCAAAGTACTTCAACAGTGTGAGGCTAAATTTACTTGAGCCGAGTACTTTTGATTTTTCCATTCTTGTTTCTTGTGAATGAAGCTCTGCTACCTGGAGAAATTGCATAAATGCTGAGATGGTGCAAATTGTACAGTAATTTTAGCGGGAGTTCGGACCAGATTTATATTGGATGTGGATTGAGTACTGAGTAAACTGTTTGATTCATCAAAGCCTTGGGGTTGAGTTGCACTGCTGACTGCTGAGCATATACTGGCCTGGTGCGTTTTTGGGTATCCGTTATCATAATGGGCAGAACTGCTCTGTTATTCTTTCTGATCACAGCTGATCTATGGCGTCTGTCTTACCAGAGCCGATTCTTCAATGCTTAAACTGGAAAATTGTTATCAAAATTATTTGATGATGTTTGATTGTATCATGTGTAATTGATCCTGTTTGCGTTTACGGTGAAATTTGTTCACCATCATATCTATCATATAAAGTTTTGGTGGCATCATTGCAAGGTTGTTCAACATTTATGCGTTCGGCTGATTCAGTCACTATTTAGAAGTAAAACTCAATTAGAGGTTTAACAACATCCAAATAATTGCTTGTCATCCATATATTTGAGGCTGATGTCGCAATTCAATACTAATTAATTTTGAAAATTTTCATTTTAATTAATTAAATTTGTCTGAATGGCAAACAGATCACATTTAAGAACTCGTGAAACGATTTAATCATTTTTTAAAATTAATAAAGTTTAATTTGCAGAAAGAGATATAGAAGGGAGTAACTTTACTCAAAATTATTTGTATGTGTAGGGGTGTATCATATAAGCATGATTAAGATTAAAATTTATTTAATGATCACTTTGTTAATTAAAAATACGTGATTTTATGATTTAATCTTAATAATTCATGATTGGATGGTTCAAATTCGCACCATCTGTGGATATGGTTGTGAATATACTAAGAACTTGGGATTAAAAATTATTTAATTGTGGCATGATCACTTTAAAAAGCCACCTTTTTTATTATTTAATCCTAATCATTTAATTCTAATTATTCATATATGATTGTATGTTTAAATTTGCTTTTCCTATCATATAAATTATATTCTTACTTGATACGCTCTTTGTGTTTGTATATTAGAAACTATATCCAAAAATTTAATTAAAAATCTAAAAGACAATGATGGTGACTGTTGTTAAATAGAATTTCAATAATTTTCCTGAATCTACCAAAAAAAATAGAATTTCAATTAAAACAGATAAAAAATTTTAACAAAATTAATCCACATTATATCTCAAACTACTCATTTACTTTTACATTATTTGATAAAGAAGAAGGAAATAGGAGAGAGAGAAGAGAATAGAGAAAAGAGAAAAGAGAAGAAAGGAAGAGAAGGAAGGCAAAAAAGTAAGTAAGAAATAAAAATAAATAAATGTTGTTTGGTAGAAAGAAAATAAAAAAAAAGGTATTTAATTTTAAAATAATAAATATTTTATTATTTTAGGGATCAAACTATATGTGTAACTTTTACCAATTATTATATTATTAATGATTCATATTAAAGGTAAATTTTATTAATTTAACCATTAAATTATAATTTTAAATTATTTTGAATGTTTATGTTAAACTTTGTTAAAATTTAATAACAATAAAAAAAATAATCAAATTTTTTTATATTTAAGTTTAAAACATGTATATTACATCATTTTTTATCTATATGAACAAAGTATTAAATAACTTTTAATTTATCAATAAATTTTGAAAAATTGATTTAAATTAAATTATAAAATAGTGTAATACATTTTTATAATTTGATTTTATATATATATAATATTCAACAAAAGTATGTCTTATTAAAAGAGATGAGAAAAGTAAATCATAAATTATAGATAAAAATAATTAATAATTAAAATTAAAACTCAACTATAAATATACCTTTACAAAAATATTACTATTATTCCTCTCTATATTATTAACATCACAACTACCTCCTATTAGTAAACTTAGTTATGTGATAACATGACCATAGCATCTTTGCTGGTATATAAGATTCTTACTTTTATCAACAAGAAGTTTAGTAACTACAACAAATCTGATTTCTCACATAATATGTATACAAGATTATTTATATTATCAACGAGAAGTTTGCATTTGTGATTGTGCCATATGCATCTTTATCAACCCTTTGTTCCAAATCCAAATTAATATTCATGAGAGTGGTATATACTTACGGAGATCTATTTCATGTTTATACTAACTAAAACACTATATTACATGTTAAAGAATGCTATAAATCCAGTATAAAATCTATAGTAAAACAATATGTTTTTTTTTTATTTATAATTTTTAGACTCGTTCAATATCCTACAATCAATGTTAATGATAATAAACTAAAAACTACTCTATATTCATTTGAAGTAAAATGGTAGGTGAAATACTTTAACAAAGAGTGCACGAGGAAGATATCCATATGTAATAGTAACAAGTTTGTCAAATTGCTTCACCATATTACCCTATTATAGTATTGTGCATGACCATCAACCTTCTTGATAAATTTAGTTATGTGAGAGCATGATCCAATGAAAACTTAGTCCTTTACAAGACAAATGCTTCAATCTCTTCAAGTGAATGGTAGAATTCTAAACCATAATGGCATTACGGAATGTTTGCTTCTCAAACCTTTTACCTGTTAAACCTTTTTTTTTATTTTATCATTTTTCACCATGTCAACACTCGCAATAATTTTAATAATATATAAGACAACAAAGTCATATTGGTTGTAATTAAAAACATTTTCAACCAAATTCAATAAATTAATTTAAAAAATAATCAACAACTTACACTAACATCGAAATAATCACGATATCTCAAATTTAAGAACTTAAATCTAGAAAAAAATGAAAAAATAATAAATAAAAATATAAAATCTTTTTATATATCAATATTGGTTGATACAATGTTATTTATATTCTTTAATTAAGATATTTAGAATTCAAATCCTGATTTTTTTTATGAAATAGATTATGTTAAGAAGGAAAAATCTATCTTCTATATATTTATTATATTCAATGGAGATTGATTAATTCATATCCATACTAATATTATGAATAAAAAAAAAAAAAAGTCTTCTTCGATCCATTTCTTAAATAAATAAAAAATAAAATAAAAAATAAACTACTGAAGTGTAGTAGTATAAATGTTTTGGTGGATATAAGTTGTGAGTGTACAAGTTCACATTCGCCAAGGTTTGAAATCTCGTGTCGCGCTTTGTTCTTCCAGCGTCCCCGGTAAGAATGCCGTAGTAGCAATCACTGCGAAGCCCTAACCCTTATTTTCTGTGCATGATTTCTGAGATGAACTGAATTCGGTGTGTTAGGGTTCCACTGTGCCGATGACTTTTCTTCTGAGCAAGGGGTCGTCATCCACCGTGTGCCTCCGTTTCACCTCCATGAACCGAGGCAGGCTTTGGCGATCCTGGAACTTCTTCTTCCGCCACTGGACTTGACCCTCTTTCACTCTCTTCTTCTCTTCAATTCGTTCGCGTTTCTACATTCCCAAGCGCTTAGTATTTCCATTTTAATTTTTATTCTTTATTGTTATTATTGTTATTATTATTATTATTATTATTTATTTGGATTTGGATGGCCGAAAGATATCCGGTTCCGGGGTTTCGGTTTTTTCCCACTGACGTTGAGCTGGTTCAGTTTTATCTGAAATGGAAAGTCATGGGTAAGAAAATGCCTATGGAAGTAATGGCTGAACTTGACTTGTACAAGTATGCTCCATGGGATCTCCCAGGTTTGCATTGTACTCTTGTTGGTTTATGTTCTTGTGTTGCACTCTACTGTGTTGTGTTTTTCTAATGAGGTTTTGTTTTGCAGACATGTCTTTGCTCAAGACTGGGGATTTGGTGTGGTTCTTCTTTTGCCCTAAGGGAAAGAAGTATTTGTCTGGAGAGAGGTTGAATAGGGCCACGGAGATTGGATACTGGAAGACTACCGGGAAGGATAGAGAAATTGAACACAATAATCGAGTTGTGGGGATGATTAAAACACTGGTTTTTCACACAGGGAAAGCCCCTAAAGGAGATAGAACTGATTGGGTTATGCATGAGTTTAGAATTGTTGACAAGGAATTGGCGGACAAAGGGGTTTCACTGGTAAGCAACTTTGACCAAGCAAATATATTGTTGGATATATGTGCATTTTCTAGGGTTTATGGCTTGGATACTTGCTACTGTTATTGCCCTCTGTTACACTAGAAATGATTCATAAATATATTACTGGTTTTGTTGGATTTGGCATCTAAGTAGAATCATGTCTTTGCATGGTAAACCTTAGTCCTTAAGCTTTGCATTTGCTTCACTTATATGGCATGGAATGGCAACCATTGTATGCTATCTTGTTATTGTGCATTTGGCTAATCTAGCATCCCTTCCCGCATTCTGAGTTTGGTTTGTTGACCTTTTTGTATACTTCTAGGTTTGTGGTTGTTCTTCTAGTGAATTATTCTTGTAAAATTGTTTAATTGTTCTACTGATTTGTATTATTGCAGGACTCCTGTGTGATTTGTAAGGTGTTCCAAAAGGAAGGTCTTGGTCCCAGGAATGGTGCACAGTATGGTAAACCATTTAACGAGAAAGACTGGGATACAGAAAAGGAAATTGATCCTGTACAATCTGCTGCTGTGTCTGCACCTGTTTTTATACAACCTAATGCAAGTCATATTTCTGCCCAAAACAATGATGTTGGTTCTGTATCAGAATTGATGGCCTGTTCCTCTTCCTCGGCTCATCCTTCCGCCCCAAACAATGAAGTTGGATCTGTATCAGAGTTGATGACCTCGTGCTCAGCACATCCTTCCGCCCCAAACAATGAAGTTGGAACTGTATCAGAGTTGATGACCTCTTGCTCAGCACATCCTTCCACCCCAAACAATGAAGTTGGATCTGTATCAGAGATGATGACCTCTTGCTCGGCACATCCTTCCACCCCAAACATTGAAGTTGGATCTGTATCAGAGATGATGACCTCTTGCTCGGCACATCCTTCCACCCCAAACAATGAAGTTGGATCTGTATCAGAGATGATGACCTCTTGCTCGGCACATCCTTCCACCCCAAACATTGAAGTTGGATCTGTATCAGAGATGATGACCTCTTGCTCGGCACATCCTTCCACCCCAAACATTGAAGTTGGATCTGTATCAGAGTTGATGACCTCTTGCTCGGCATATCCTTCCACCCCAAACAATAAAGTTGGCTCTGTATCAGAATTGATGGCCTCTTGCTTGGCACATCCTTCTGCCCCAAACAATGAAGTTGGATCTGTATCAAAGTTGATGACCTCGTGCTCTGCACAACCTTTCGCCTCAAACAGTGAAGTTGGATATGTATCAGAGTTGATGCCCTCTTGCTCAGAACATCCTTTGGATCCTAACAATCAAGTTGATGATGACGTTATATCTTTGCTTGATTGGTTCACAGAGGGTGACATATCAGCCATGAATGAAAACAATGGAATTAAGGTGTGCAATCTTATTTTTATTTTGTATTTATGCATTTGTTGAGTAATTTTGCATGGTTGTTTCTCTTTTTAAGGATGATGTCTGGAGCTCCCCAATATTGATAGCCTTGGAATTTATCTGTCAACTGTTTTTTTTTATCCTTTTTGTTTGCAATTAGCTCCTCATAATCTTGTTCTTGGTAGATATACATATACTTGTTATTACTGTGTATATAACATCCTGCTCGGGCTTTCTTTGTCTTTAATTTACCAACTATGTTGCTATGGTGTTGTATTTTGTTCAATACAAGTCTGAGCTTAAATGTGTAGTTTAGAAAAGGACTGAAGGAAATGATACATTCTATTGTTGTCGACTTTGGACTAGTTGATAGTTTCATTTGAGGGTCTTGCCCTCACCTCTTCCTTTCAAAAGACTTGCAAATTAGTGATAAAGAAATAAGCTAAGCAGACAATGCTCTGCAATTTTACCTGCTTTTTGGTTCAGGGAGAGCAGGGATTTAGTTTTTATTACATTTTAGTCTAGTAGTTTGCCAGTTTTATTTAGCTCAATTTTGTAGCTTCCTGTGAGGCATTGAAGCATGTTTGACAATCCTTTTAAAACTTGTTGAACAGTTGAGGCTACAAATCATGGTTTGGAGTATATAATGTAAAATGTTATTTTCCATTTTATCTATTCGTAAATTTATTGCTAGGCTTTTTCGTTAGATTTTAACCTACAAGCAATCCGTTCTATGCTTGGTTTATTCTCTCTCTTCTATTTATGCTAATTTTGTGATTATTGGATGACAGAAGGTTGATGATCCGGATCAGGCAAACGATGCTGAATGCGCACCATGTTCAGATCCAAATGAGATTTTTGAGAACTTAGGAGACCTTGACAGCTTCTTTGGATTGGGTGAAGGCAGTCTTTCCAGTGGCCAGAAAAATAAATATACTACTACAAGCGAAGTGCTTTCTGTAGGTGGTGATATATTCAGCTCTTGTGACCCCGTGGGCTACTTGGAGTTGTTTGACCTAGAGGAACTACAGCTCTTGCAGAATAAACACGGAAGTTGTAGCCAAGATAAGGAGGGTTAGAAAATTGAAGGAATTATCATAGAAAATTGATAGAACTGCAGAAGCTATAATGGATTAGAAAAAACTATAGATTCTCTTCCTGTTTTTCATCTATAAAAACTACCATGGCACCAGTTGTGTATTTCATCAATTTCTGGAATTATTTTGCCTTGAAGATTAAGTAATGGTTTAATTATTTTGCCTTTTAGTTTCTATATCTAAAAACTATTTGTTTTACACATGCTTTTTAATCTGTTTTAGTTATCACAAAATTTCAGAGACAAATGGATTAAAAGGTATATTTCTAGGAACTAAAGCGGGTTAAAAAGGATGAGTATGGACTACAACAAAATAATGAATAGTCTTTAAGTGTACAGACTAAAACTTAAAAAACATACTCGTGGATTAAATGAGTAATTAAATTGAATTTAATATATATTGCAATGTGAAAATAATGGTAGTTAGGGGCATTTTAATTTTGTTTTTTGGTGGGGGGTGGGCAGGGGCATTGAAAGAATAAAAAAAATCAAGTTGATAAAAGAAGTTTGATTTTCCTTCTAGTTTTTTTTTTTTTAGGTTCAAAGATAACGAGCATATGCAATAAAAAGTTAAAACTACTATTAGGCAATTTCTTCGCCTTGTTTTTTGTCGTACACTCATCAATTTTATAAAGTTCTCAAATTATCCTCATTTTGGTAACAGAACCTTTAATTTAGATGTTACATTTCAGAACACTTAATCAGGAATCATGTAATTTCAGAATGCACAATTTGAAACACTTCGTATCAGAAAAATGCTTATCTAAAATACCTCATTTAAAAGATATATACTTATTTGAAAGACCCAATCCGGAACAATGCTTTTTAAGAACATCCATTTTGAATCAACATCGTCCAAATTGGCTGTTTTGAAAAAATAATGATCCGGATTTAGTGCATAATATCTAACCGTCCAAAATACCTATTCTGGAGAAATAAAAATTCATCCAAACTGTGTTCCAAAGAGGTAAAATACATCTGAAATATGTGTTTTGAAGAGAAAGCGGCGATTAAGAGTTTTTATAATATGATGGATGTATTGTATTGTACAGGGCAATTGACAGGGTGGTGGGATCAATTTCCCAACTATTACTCACAAGGCACAAGGGACATCGCCCTATAAAGGAGCCCTTTTAAAATATGTGGTCATTTTTACTTTATAAAAAATAATAATTAATAATTTTTTTACTGGCGAACCTAAAACTACTAAGTCTTGTTGGCCGGTTCTGTTATAAATAGAGTAAGGTTTAGGGATGGCAAATATACCCGTACCCGTGGGTAATACCCGAACCTGTTCTGACTTTGACGGGGAATACCCGGTTTGACCGGGTACGGGTACGGGTACGGGTAAAACCCGATATATTGAATCGGGTACGGGTACGGGTATGTACTTACCCGCCCCGTACCCGTCCCCGTTCTCATTTTTAATTTAATATTCACTTTTAATTTAATTATATTAAAAAAATTTAATATTTTTTTACGTATGATTATTTATTATAATGCGAGATAAAAAAATAACCTAATTATAATTATAATATAATAAAAAAAATTTAAAAATATTATTTTTAAAAAAAAAATAAAAAATAAAAAAATTGACGGGTACGGGTACGGGTACGGGTATACCCGATACCCGACGGGGACGGGGATGGGATGAAAATCCATACCCGACGGGTATGGAGACGGGGATGGGGATGAGTTTTACTTGCGGGGACGGGGACGGGTATCATGAAACCCGTACCCGCCCCGCCCCGTTGCCATCCCTACTAAGGTTTTGATATTCTTCTTATTTTAAATTTCTTTTAAAAAAATAGAGAAAATTTGATATTTTATAATTACTATAAGATGTTTCCTTAAATCGAACACGTATTGTAATTATATCTTAGTTACGAGTTTTGGAATCAAATCAACCTGAGGGGCTAAATGCAAACATCGTATATTTCTTTTAGAAATGACATAATTAAAGCTTTGTACAATTCATGAATTCATGCTGTTAACAAAGGATAAAGACAACAAAAAAACAGAAATTATAAGTTGTTTCGTTGAAGAAACATGTTGATCAGTTTTCCGAACAAATGAAAAAAGAAAATACGTCAAGCACCAAATAATATAGGTTACTTCAAAGTAGAGATGTACCTCAGGTGTTACATTACCGTAAAGCCAAGTTTGAGAGTAAGGACGTCTTCCCTTAAAGCAAAGACCTCTTAACAATTTCGACTAAAATTATATGCTTACGTAATTCTTTTTGCTCTTTTCATTGAAGTAAATAATTATAAAAAGAATTTGCATATAAAGGCTTTGCATGATTAACACTCAATAAATGCTTTACTCAAACACACTTCAAAAGATCTTCCATTTTCTTTTATTTCTTCATCGTTGAAGTCTAAAAAAAGAAACTTAAAATTAGGTTTAATCATACTTTTTAGCACCCATGTTTTAATAATTTTATTTACTGATCGTGTGATGATATTGGTTGATAATTAACATAACATATTATGTCACACATTATCAACAATCAATGTAATACATTAATAACCACTTAATGCGCTAGATGATTTACTGATGAGCTCACAAAAATATATAAAATTTTGAAAATTGAATAGCAAAATTGTGAAAAATGGTAGGAAATAGTGCGATTAAACCTTAAAATTTTGTTTTATCCAAACATTATCCTTAGGTGTAAAAGAATATGACAGGTAGAACCAATTATCGTTTCATAATTATGATATGACAATCCAATGTCATAGATTTATTTCAAATTTTATTTTAATCTTCGTATTCCCACATTTTTTTTTCCATCTTTCTACTTTAATTCCCGTTATTAATTCGATCTAAATAATGTGGACCTATCAGCTTAATACAACCACTAAAAGTTTAGTATTCCTTCTTTTCCGCTGGAGCATCCATCTAGCAATAAGGGCAATCAAATTCTTGCCAAAACCAGCAGTGTGGTGATTTGATTTTCTTGTTTTGACAGCACAAGTGAAGTGACTCAAATTAAATCACATAGGCCTGGTCCCAAGAAGCATAACAACAATACATACGTGTCATGACTTCTGGCTACTCAGTAATGCGATAATGCATTCAATTCATAAAACCTAAACTAAATTGGACAGCAGAATCACGAGGGTCGACTGGTGGTAGGAAGACTGAAGTAGTATGTTCAGAATCTTAAGTCTGAACTATATTATAGTCATTGTAATTTCGATAAAAAAAAAATTTAATTGGACGCCATGGAGCCTCTTGCAGTAACCAAGCAAAGCAAACATATAGAGGAAAAATTCTCCTACCATTTGGGCATGAAATAATCTCACAATCTATGGAGTTTATCTACGTTATTCAGTGTACAAAGTCCAGAATCCCTCACCTAGTTGCAACTCTTTACACACTACACAAACAGTTAAAATGACAAATAGTGTCACAGTTTTACCTTGATTCAATGGCAAAAGTTTCAGACCCTCTTAAGAACGATCTGCGCCACCAAATCTGGAATGCCTTGCTTAGATTTGGACATTCAGTGCCATGGCTTGAGAAGTGCCGAAACCATTCCATGAAGAGCAAGTATTGTTGATTCAAAGGTAGAGTAAGAAGTGTCTGTCCCATAGCCTCTTGCAATACCTTTATATCAAGCCCTCTTCTGCATCTTTGCAACCAACCAAAGTCCAACAGCATAGGCCTAAACCATGCTTGGAGAAGCCCCCATCTAGCTTCCACCTTGCATTGCAATTTTCTTGTAGCCATTGCAACAAAGAGAATCGCTGAGATGCGGCTAAGTTCATATCTAATCATGGGGGAAACATCATCATGCATTTTAACAAGTTGGTGCTGTTCCGCCCATATGTTCACAAAATCCTCTGCTATTTGACCATCAAGCATGATCTCTAGCAACCAGTTGATGTTATCAACTTGCCTCGAGATGCGTTCAATTAGAGGCTTATTCTTATCTTTCTTTGTTAATAGCTTTTCAGGAGTGATGGTATCTGATGCTTCCTCAAAGAGGCTTACAAGTGAGTCCAAGCATGAGTGGCACACAGAATACAGATCCTCCTTGCTGAGGTCAAGGTGATTCTTCTCATACACTGAGCTTTTGCAAAGAAGACCCTTCATTAGTGACTTAAGTTCATTTCTTGCTTTGGCATCCACACAAGTGGTGATAGACCAAACTAATTGTCTAGCTACATTTGGCTGGGAAGAGGAATCTACTGAATCTTGCAAGTAAAGCCTTCCTAGAATGTCTCTTGTTGTTGCTTCATCAAACTTGAATCTTGTGAATAGGTTCCTCAGTTTTTCTTCCTCTTCTTCAGTCCAAGGCACGGCTTCAAGGTATTGTAAACACGACAAAACACCCTTGGTGAACATGATACCTGCTGAAACCTAGTAATGCAACACCGGATAAACTTGTAAGAGATTGAAGAGGCACCAATGTGCAGGCTCAAGTACTCAACACAGAAAAAAATATATAGTTTCTTCGATACCAAAATTATCAAAAGGTTCATTTTCAAGCTTAGTGTCTCTTAATTTTTTCTTTTAATTTCACGCGACTCTTGCTATTTTTCCTAACAAAACAGTACTTCCCTCAAACAAAAAACCTTCCAGGAATTATGAGGGCAAGAATCCACACAAAAATAAAAAATAAAAAATACACAAGGGTGTGTTTGAAACACAGATCAATCATGTTCAACCCAATCCACAGTGAGAGAAGGACTGACAATGAACATGCATTGGAAAGTGAATTGTGGATAAAGCAAACACACTCTAACACGTCTTGACCATTTACAAAAAATAATAATAATAAAACTTATAACAATTATTTAGATAGTTTTCATGTTGTAAGTTTAGTTCTATTACATGAATTATGAGATCAAACTCTAATTTTAATAAATTTGAAAATAACACTGCATCTAATTTTTGTTCTTAAAATATTTATCTACCATCAAATGCATATGCATTAAAAAACCCTCAATCAGAAAATCACAATAATGAAGGCTTTTTGCGTTCAAATAAGAACAAGAAAAGGTAAAAACAACAGTGACTGATACCAATAATCAAAGACCCGAAGAAAAAAATTCAATTTTTTGTTTAATATTAAAAAAGTAAAAGTTAAGTGGGAACCTCCAAAACGTCAATGGATCGAAAAACGCCAATGTTAAGGAGGCGTTTGGTAAGCCCATCCTCGTTCTCAAACATGAGTTCAATGGTTTCTCTGAACACTCCCAAGTTCTCAACTTCAGGAACCTCTATTCTACACATTTTGTTGCTACCACTGAAACTCGAAACCCCTTTGTTGTAATCCGCAATCAACCCCGCAAACACTTCGGAATTCGCACACAGAACCCCCGAATTCACCTCCAGAACCATGCACCCGCCGTTCTTCCCTCTCAGGCTCATTCTCACATCCCTGTCGCCGGCCACCGGAGATGGCGGAGCCGGCGAGGGTGAGGGTGAGGGCGAGGGAACGGCGGCTCCGGCGACGGGATCGGAGTCGATGGGCGAGACTCTTCCCGGAGAGAGGATCCGGCGAGGGTCGATGCGGGCGGCGATTCGGGATTTGGGGGAGGTCGGGAGGGAGAATGTAGGTTTGGAGTGAGGTTCGGGTTTGCGGGGGCCAGGCTTGGAGTTGTCGGGGCTGGCGGCGAAGGTGCAGCACCACGTGCGGCGGCGCCGGCGATGAGGGTCCATTTTATGTGTGGTGTGTGCGAGGTGTGAAGTGATGGGTTTTTTTTTTTTTTAAAAAAAAAAACAGTTTTTTAAGGGTTTGGTTGGGGTTTGTGGGAAGTGGGAAGTGGGAAGTGGAGGGTTACTTTGTTTTGTTGGGAATGGTGGGGAAAATGAGGAAAAGGTTGTGTTTTGAGATAAGACAGTTGGGTGGTGCTTTTCTGTTAATTTAATTTGGGGTTTTGCTTTGGGGACATCAAACAAACCACATGCACTATGTGTCACAGCTGTGCACTTTCATTTCTTACTATTTCTACCTCCTTTCATTTGTTTTAACTCTTCAATTATGAGAGGGATGCAATTAGAGAGCCTGAATAGTATGTGAGGAAAGAATTTAATGAATGCTATGTTAAACCTTACAATTATACTTATATCATATAAACAAATTATATTTATTTTTTTTATATAAGATTTAGTATATTTTACTTTTATATTAATGCTAAGTCATTGCAAAGTAAGTTTTTAAACATGTTTATAGATTAGGCCATATTTTTATGTAAATCAAGTTCACGCCATGTATATTCTAATAAGATAAAACTCTAGTTAGGCTTAACATATGGTAGATCCTACAACAACTAATAATTAAAAAATAATGAATTTCACTCGCCAGAATGAATTATAACAAAATAGCAATAGAAAGTTATGGAAGGAAAAATGAGATAATAATACAAGTAACTGTGTAGGAATAAAATTTGAATAAGGAATGATGAAAAGAAATTTACTGAGGTAGGCCACCACCAACAGCATCATTCTTGGAACTAGGAAAGTATAATAATAATATATAGGGGTGGTAGAATATCTAAGCTTTTTTACTTTGCTTGTTGGCCAGGGAAGGCATACTTTTGGACTCCATTCCAATCATTCATTCCATTAAATTAAAGGATGTTGTTTGCTTCCACTTTCAATGTCTTGTTTTCTTTTTACAGTATTTTTTTGCTTCACTCTCAATCTAATTAAGCAAACACCATTTGGGGATGGCTTCTGATTTGTGTGTTGCGCGGGAACGAGCATTAATTGTTAAATAGGAAATGAAATTATTGTGTTGCTTGGTGAATAAGTGTTTTATTGATTTAACTAAGTATTTTGTATTTAATCGAATATATATATATTATGAACAAAGAGTATCTTTTAATTGATAATTAGAAACTATTTTTTTTAAAACATAAAGATCATCAAAGTGAATTTTATCTCCCTCATTAAAATCTTTTTTATATACAATAAGAGAACCAAATTATTGTCGATACATTTAAAAAATTCAACTATCTATCAATTATATAAGAATTTGTTAGCTTTTAAGTGCACATGAATTTATATATTGAAGTCTCACGAACAAGTGCTTAATTAGGAGTCAGTTAAAAAAAATATTAAACATATGCTCAAGGTGGTGAACATGAGGAAGTCTTTAATGTCAATTATAATGAAACAGCATTGCAAGTAGTGAGAGGATAATCACATGCGAGCACTCTAATGCTTAGGTCACTAAGAATTTCAATAACGTAACAATAAGAGTATTAGTAAGCACGTATACCAAACTTGTGATATCAAGCTTATAGGTGATCAAGATGAGAGGTAAAAAAAAATATTATCTTACATAGACATATTCTTATTAAATTAGATTTCCGTTATTAAAGTATTTTATTTGAAAGTCAAATGATACAATGAATGAGATTGTCATTAAAGGAATCTTCAAAACACTAACTCCCAAGTTAGTATAAGGTTTAAAACTAAGTCAATTTTTGCCTTAGTTGTAATTCTCATAAAATTTTCTAAAACACATGAAGTATTTTGAATTACTTAAAAAAATATTAAATGAATATTTTAAGTCACTAGAATGAAGAAGATACTAGTAACCTTAAATTTGATTTAAATTAACTTTTGTTATTGAGCAACCTTAAATTTAGGGTTTAGGGTTTAAGGTTTAGTGTTTTTTATGTGAATTAAGTTTGACAGACGTGAAACCAACTATGTTTTTGACTTTTGGGGTTTAGGGATTAAAAACAAGAGTTTATGTGTTAAAATCTTAAACGTAAATTCAGACACGCCGACAATCTGGAGGGGCCATGTTGGCATTGGCAGCCTACCGGTGTTAGGCTTGGAATCTTAGATGGTGACTGAGAAATGTGACGATCGAGACTCGAGATCAGAGAATCCTAATTGAAAATATTTTTTGGGATAAAATGTTTATATAAAAGAAACAAAAAAAAAAAAAAAAAAAAAAAATTGGTAGACCCTGCGTTTCTTGTAGTTCATAACTCATTCATTTTCTAGGTTGTCGGGCATATCAAACAGAAATCTAAGGAACCTTATCTCATTCCACAATTCTCTTGAGTTAGAATTATTACATACAAATTTATGCAATTCATATTCATAGGAATCATAAAATACCATGTGGGGCTTAATTTTTGTTTTTATTTTCAACAAAAGAACAAGAAATGAGGACAATGAGCCCCACATAGAGGCATGATTAGTGATATAGGTTTATGTTGTGTTGTGAGTTATAAGTAAGAGGTGTGCATGTAGAGGTTAGGATAATACTCAATAGGTTATGGGAAGAGAATTTCAGAGACACGAAGCGACATGACATAACATGAGTTCCCTGCGCTTCAAATAATTCATTACGTGACTCGACCATACACATACATGGCTCAGAAGAAGTCAGAACGCGGAAGAGTCATCACTTGGCCCACGGGTTTTAATTATTAGGGCTCCACAACACTTATCCCACTAATTCAAATTACTTGAGATTGATTTTAATGACTACTTTTTTTGATAAATTCTATTTTCTTTGTATGAAATAACCGAATTTTTAATAGACATATGTTAACTGATTTTACTGTAACGTATTCATTTAATTTTAAATTTTAGAATTTTATCTCTTTCCAATCTTACCCTTCTTGCATGATACCAGTTACTGCACAAACTTACTCTATGTCCCACATCACATGCTTGACACGCTGGTGAAAGAGGTTTTCTTGCTGAATCACATCGTAGTAAAATCATAATAAATAAATATTTTTAAACATGTAAATTATAATATAATTAAACTTTACAATAAATAAATATATTTATATTTGTAAATTACATTTTCAAATTTTAATGAATAATTTAAATTGTGCAATTATTTTTAACTATTTACAATTTTTGTAAAAAAAGATAAAACTGATAATTTGAGACGACTATTTTTTTTAGTCTAGTTACAAGAATAATGTGTGAAATATAATATGTTGAAGACCCTATATTAGTGATAAGACTAAAAAAAGTGTATGACTCAATTTTGTGACTCATTCTAAAATGATGTCAAATCTACTATCGAGCCATTATTTGCAGATATTTATTTAGTAATGTAAATTTTATATTCAAAAGTCTAATCTAGAATGAAAAGATGTGTTGGATAAATAACTAGTGGGAATAATCCTCATCTTGCAAGTTTTATGGGCTTGACTTAAGCTCAAACACATTCTAAAACACCTAGCAAGAGTGAGATTCACTATTTTATTCTACAGCGTGGAGAGAGGAGAATGAAAACAAGGGAAGTAATATACAATTTGATAACTATGGAATTTGGGTATAGTTCTCTCAACCGTTTACAAGATTTTACGATCAGACTCGTAGAATTCTTCCACTAATAAACATGCAGAGCCAGAGTTAGGAGTGATGATGGTATACTGATATACTACATACACAGTTGACAGTACATATGCAGTATGCGCTCCATAACATAATCATGCCTTGAATCTCTCAGTATGCCTGAACTTTTATCTCCACTTGTCTGTGTGACAAATAGCTGCAGAGGTTTTGATTCAGTCCTACTTATGCTTCTTGCCGCCAGCCAGAATGCGCTGGATTTGAAGCCCTCGGCTGAATGCTTGGTTGAACAGCAGCCTAGTTTGGAATTCTGAAACAAATGGGAACCAAGCCAATATGGCCACTGGTGCAAAAATAACCACTCCCATAAGGTATTCAAAGCCCCTTGCTACAGCTTTGACAGACCCCCACATTCCAATGCCCTTCACGAATGGCCTGCATGCTTGTGCTATCTGCACATATATAACACCACACCAATCAGAAATAAGTGATTTTACACTCACTGTATCAAAAGGAATCATGAGAGGAACTAATCTAATTCCAATAATGAAGACACACGAGTTACTTGATTTTTATATCTTAATCTTATACATAACTCGTAATCTAGTATTTTAAAACGTTTAATTGGATTAGACATTGGCATGATGAGTGAACCATGATACTCGACTCAGAATGACGAAACAAACCTAAAATAATGATTGAGCCAGAAGATGGCGACTGATGACTATTGACTACTAAAAATAGGTACGTAGGTAACATATGATCAAATGTACCTCGGACACAAATTAAAGTCTAGTGTATATTCGGCATGATCAAATGAGACAAAAAAACACCAAAGCCGGAGGGCGATGACCACTAAACACATACCTGTACAAGTGCCCATGCTGTTGGCAAAAAGGCTAGGAGGCTCGCAAAGATGTCTCCAACTGTGAGATTCAGCAGTGTAAACATTAAGCCTAGAGCAACAATGGCTCCAATGAACAGAAACAATTTGAGAAGACGAAACATCAGCTGGAAATCTGCGCTGAACTGCTTTCTACCCATGGACACAATCTGCAGTTTCAGATGTCACTAATTAACAAGATCATTACCAAGCACAAACAGAAAGAACTAACTTTTTGATCACTGAATACCGACCTTAAAGATAACCATGAGAGCTACTATCACTATCCAAGACAGAGCATAAACCTGAAGAGAAAATGTATGTCAGAAAACACCTCCCTATATGTACAGTCATTTCTGTTATTTCTTTTATTTTATTTATTTTTAGGGGAGGGGAGGGGGAGTCAGTGATCTGTAATGACATCATGGTAATTGGAAAAGGACTAAATTCTCCTACATGCGAGGGATTACTCTGTCTCAACCCTGTTAACAGCACCTTGCTCACTCTCAATTACTGGAGTTAGTAGTATGGACATTGGTGTTAAATAAGTTGAACCCTGTTGTGTGGTTCCAGAGTTTGACATGAAAACATTAAATGTAATTAAATTAGCAAGCACAATTACCAGGATGCTCTTGTCACCTCTGGCTACACGGAGATGATACACAATTCCATATTGATAGATAAAGAAACGCAGGGCAAGAATAG